AGAACAGCCTTGTCAAACAGTTCTCATTAAAGAGGTTGAAAAAATAACCAAACAGAGCTGTTTGTTGCATTGCTAGAATGGCTGACTATAAGCTTGTTTGATTCACAGCTATTCTCATCAGAGTGGTAGTATCTCTGAAACAATCACAAAACAAACTGTTTCCGTTTCTTCCAGTGTATCATCCTAATTAAAACCAAGGAGAATACACAACTACTGCTATGGAGACCTGGCAAATATCAAAGGTCACTCCAATAAAAGTGCCTTTCTGTTCATTATACTTGAGGTAACTGGAATAGCTGCCTGGAAGCATACCTGTCTTCCACTCAATAGCCAGAAACCTTACAAATACATTATGAATGATCCATTAAGGACCAAACTATATAGAATGTTAGTCACTGCATCTTTTTTCTGTCCCATTTACCTACTGAAGAGAACATTAGTCTAGAACACTTTCCATTTCATCTCCAAAATAGCTACTATTCAGTAAAGAAGTACAGTAACATGTGAAGGGCTGTCATGAATGCTTTAGTAATAGCTATTTTAATCTGTAGTAAAATTATATGCTATAGTGGGATTCTTTTTGGACTATCATCCTTTCAATTGTAAATGCAATAAAACATATATTTATATAAAAAGATTCTATGATCACAAAAAAAGCCCCTAAAGAGGGTTTTTTCCCCTGCATACATAATAAGTTGCTTTGTATCACCCACAATACACCTACACTCCTGGAATTGTTTACTGTGTAAGAAAGAATTAAGCAGAAAATGTGGGGAAAAATAATCTTGTGAAGTTGACAATCTTCAAAATGGTTATGCCAGTGGGCTGGAATATAGACTTTCTATATTCTTTCTAGTGACTTAGTGTGCATCCCAACACAATTAGAAATGTAAATGTCATTTTATTTTCATCAGTGCGATGACTTGTCAGAATGCATTCCTACTGACTCTCACAATAGGAATGAAAATCTCCCAATGCAATAAATACCAAATTGAAATGAAACACATGGATGGGAGAATATATTTAGAAATTGGACATTAAAATGGAGTTTTAAAAAAATGCTGGGTGAAGTGAGGGAACAGAGAAAAAAATAGAAGAGGAAAGTATGTACTATTGTTTTTCTGAAACAAAGCCTTATAGATTATAATTGTTATAATCTCTCAATTATCAACAATAGCAAGCTGCTTTACTGTACAGTATAAGCAAAGAGTTTCCAGTAGAAGATATAGAACTCCACATTATTCCAGAGTTAATCTGAGCAATATGGTGATATAGGCATCTTTAGACTATTCCACAGATCTGAAGAGATCCAATGGCATTCAGCATAAAGGAAGAACATAATTTGTTTACCCTGAATAATGCAATCAGAGAAAGCAGCAACATCCCTAGAGATGCCAATATAGCATTCCTCCAACATGGTGCCTTTAACAAATTGATACCACAACACCCATGATTCTCAACCAAATCAATGCAAAATCAAATGGTCCCATTTCACAGTATGCTTTTTATATGACTTATTGGGGTAAATTTTACTGGGTTTCCATTTAACAATAATTATGAGAAAGCTTGTATCAAGAATTTTAAAGACTCTTAGCAACCATATAGATTTTCTCTGATGATGATCTATCCCTAAGTCAGCCTTTCAGGCCCAATGGTGCAATAATCACCACTGTAACTGTGTCCATCTGCCTTGCTGCTTCTGTTTCTTTCTACCTTTCCCATCAGTAGAGCCTTCTCCAGAGAATTAATTCTTTACATTATGTGATCGAAGTAGGATAATTTGAGTCTGGTCATTTATGTCTCAAGTAAGAACTCTGGGCTGATTTGTTCAATGATTTGTTTGTTTTCTTGACTTTCCATGGGGCTTCATCAGGAGGAAGCAAAAAAATCAGTAATTTGTATATTCTTAACCAAACGGGATCCCAACATGACATCTTTCACATCCCCTACAGTGCCTGACAGGCCCTTATCAGATGTTATTTTATTTGAATTATTTTAATTGAAAAAAAAGGAAAGCTAGCATGCTGTAAAGCCAATTACTAACTCGAACATAATATTTATTTCTAAGACTGCTTATGGACTCTGTATATCTCTTAGAAGGATCTTTAGAAATATAAATAATGGGGAAGTTCAGCCCAGTTTTCTGATTCAAATATGCCTACTTGAGCTGAAGAAAAGACAGATATAAACTGGAATGGTAGAAGACTAGAGGAGGTAGCTGGGAGCAAATCTACTAGTTTGCCTTCTAATAAATGGATTTTTTGTCCTCTTTCACGCAGCAATTTTTAGAGTGCCCATTACAACATTGAAAATGTACTCATTGATCCCAAAGTTTAGGGACTTTTGACCTAGCAAGTCATGCAATAGTCTAATTCAGTGGTTCTCAACCTTTTTAATGCCGTGACCCCAACCGGTCGTAAGTCGAGGACTAAACCGGTCGTAAGTCGAGGACTAAACCGGTCGTAAGTTGAGGACTACCCAACCGGTCGTAAGTCGAGGACTTTCCCTGCCCGGGAGCGCCGCGCATGTGTGGTTCCGCCCCCTGCGCCGGCCGAGGCATAGCTGGCAAGTGGCAGAGACGGAGCAGGCCGACCACCAGCTGGCCCAGCCCAAGGGAGGTAAGGCACCCGCCGGAAAAGGGGAAAAAAATGGCGGACAAAAAAAATGGCGGACAGCCTTGCTTGGCGACCCCCGTGAAATGGTCGATCGACCCCAAATGGGGTCCCGACCCACAGGCTGAGAACCACTGGTCTAATTGTAACCTGTCAGTCATGACCATGGCGGTTTCAGTCTCTCTACATATAACTAAAGCAAAGACTTGAATACAGTATAGCAAGAGGACATATGCCCTGCTGGATAAGACCCCTGACCCATCTAATCCAGCAGTCTGTTTTCACAGTGGCCAATCAACTGCACTAGGACGTCCGCTAGTTTCCCAGCAATGGCCTTCAGAGAACATGACCCCAACAATAAGTATATCCTTTGCATTCAAAAACTGCCAGGTTTGTTTGCTGGCATCTCCAGTTCAAAAATATGAAAAAAATAAAAGTAAAGATCCCTGTCAAAATACACAATAGCATCCACAGAACACACAACACAGATCACTATGAGCACTAATATGCGTATTAATATGTATACCAACATCCTTATACTTAACAGCTTTTTAGCTAATGGAGTGAACAAAAATCATGTGCTAATTGTAATTGCTGAACAAACTCAAACAACTTCATTTGCACAATATCACTAAGCCATAAACAATCAAACCACATTATAGCTTAGTGCAATGCGTGAACCCAGCTACTGTTTTGCCAATTCTATTAATGAACAATGTTGAGGCCAGGAAGTGCCTTAGACAATAATTTCTGCCTTGACAATAAACATGCTTGCATGTTATACACTGCTCTACAATATACCCCAAAATGCTGTGTGCCGATTGGAAATTGAAAACATTTGAAAGGGTACCTCTAAATAAAGACAATATGATCCATATTTTCCAGAAAAGGCCCATTCATTAATTCTAAAGGCTGTTCTCCCCTTAACTGAAAAGCTACCACACATATCGCCTGTACCACAATCACTCAGTCCTGGTAGAACTAAGCAGAAAAAAAAAATTGTACAAAAAAATTGACAGTTAAATGGCACTTTAACTCTCTCAACAATACCACAATTTACATCCCAAAACTGTCACTGTTGCTGCAATCCTATCACTTTTTTTCAGCTGCCATGTACATTAAAAAAAGAAGAGAAAGAAAATGTTGTTGTTTTTTAAAAAGAAAAGTACTTGAGTTTTAATGAGTGAATTAGTTTACTTAGCTTTAGGGGACTTCTTAGAAAATCGAGGAGTACTATATAGCCCCTGGAGGATCTCAGTATTTATCTGGGAGAGAATATTATTCTCAAATAGCAGACTATAAAACTAAATATACCAGTTTTGTCAATCATAATTTAAACAGATTAATAAATGGTTAATAAATAAATTAGTGTACTAGTAAAAACAGAGTCTTTATTAGAACAAAAATATTCCTTCTGTTCATTTAGATTATCTATTTATTTATTTATTAAACTTGGAGTGGCACAATGGCTCAGCCGTTAAGTTGCTGGGCTTGTCAGCTGGAAAGCTGACAGGTGGGATTCGAACCTGAGCACTGCATGACAGGGTGATCTCCCGTTCTTGCCCTAGCTCTGCCAACCTAGTAGTTCAAAAGCATGTAAATATGAATCGATAAATAGGTACCACTGTGGTGGAAAAGGTTACTGTGTTCTGTACTTTCATGCTGATGGCCACATAATAATGGAAGCGTCTCTCCCTAGACCAGTGTTTCTCAACCTTGACAATTTTAAGGCATGTGGACTTCAACTCCCAGAATTCCACAGCCAGCATTGCTGGCTGTGGAATTCTGGGAGTTGAAGTCCACATGCCTTAAAACTGTCAAGGTTGAGAAACACTGCCCTAGACTGAGAACCGGAGTTGAGCATCTCCTCTTTAAGTCAGTCACGACTGGACAGGGGAAAACTTTAAACTTTTTTTAATTAAACTTGAATGTCATCCATCTCCACTAGATATTAAAATATTTTTTTAATTCTCTGTCTCATTGGTGGCATAATTATTAGCTATAAAGTATTAGAAGCAAACATTCTTGTATTTTTGTGATTTGTTCAAGAAAGAAATAAGAGTATTATGTGTCATACAGTAACACAGACATGTAAGAATTTCCACAAAGATCCACTGAAGAAATATGGATATAATATGCCACTAATCGACAGTTTCAGAGTCTTGTGCAACAGTGGAAGACAAACAAATTTTATTTTCTTCAAGTTGTTTGAAATGTTTTGAATAAAACATGAATAAAATATACAGTAAAGTCTTACACTGCATTAAGGATAACAATTTTAAGTTTGGAATCCCATGAAAGTCATATAACAACACCCCTCACCTATACACAAATTAAACACAGCCCTTAGTAAATGCTTTTTTTGTTCTAGACTTCAAAGCTAAATATATTGGCACAAGCTATGGGCTTCTAACAAATAATAACAAAATGCCATGTCTCTTTTGTTTCTGTGACATCAACATACCTGTTAATGACAGAACTGTGATTTATTCCAAGTCTGTCAAATGCCTGATATTATTTCAGAGGATGCCACAAATATATATATATTTTCAAAAGTAAGATTGAAACAAGAATTCTTCAGTGATTGCAGCAAAATGCAACCCAACATGATACAATTTATATATACAGAAACAGCACCAAAAGCATAGCTTTATGGTCATAATATTTAGTAACACAAAGAAGTCTGTAGCATCCAGATCCAAAGCAGTTAAAGGCACTTTGGATCTGGCATGGAAAAAGTACAACTGACAGAACACAGAAGATGCCTATGTCAGTTCTGAAGCTCTTCTGCCCACTTCAGGGCAGTCCAACTAGGTATCTGTATCATTGTTATATATTTCCCAACTCTACTTTTCTGACTCTCTTTATGTATGGGGATGAAAAAGTGGAACATGATGATTCCTGAGGCTTCTTCTTTACTATTGCATGGTAGTGAGAGGGGACAAAATAGTTGGGGTTTCAGTTCAGAGATTATGATCAGAAAAGAATCACAAGTTCAAGTGGTTTTAGTTATGTATCATGAGGCACCGTTGATGCGGGAAATAATTCCATTTACAAAAGAATTATTTTTCCTTAAAACGTAGTCTTTTAACTCCTTTAGTTTGGTCCGGATTTCTTCTTCAGACATTTCTGTCAACGGCATTGCTTTCACTTGAGAAAGGAAATCTTGAATTATTTGTTCCCCCTCCTGAAAAAGAAAAAAAATGTATTTGTCAGTTACTTAAGAAAACATATCAAACCATTAACCTTTAAAAACATAAGTCCTGTATTTCATCAACAAGCAGACTAGAATAACAAAGCAGAATGAGATAAAATTGTTAAGCCTAAAGTAGCCAGATAAACATAAATAAAAATATATAAACAAATTGAACTGTTTTTACCCAAGTCCTGACAAATCTTGTCAGCTATGTGGCAATTAACTAAGATATATATATTTATATACTAGTAAAACCACTGTGCCTGTATCCTTTGACTGGGAGAAATGGTGTATCATAGGACAAAACATTTTTGACCAAGGTACCTAAATTGGGCTAATTTAAAGAATGCATCCAAAATCCAGGACCCCATGACTCCAGTGGAATCGAAATTTGGCAAATTTTGTTAAACATTTTATGACATAATACAAAATGTCATAAAATATTTCTGGGGTCAACTGCTGATGTTTGTGCCATATGTTTCAACGTGGGCTATTTTCAAAGCAAATACATTTCTGAATATCTCCCTAATTTTTTTTTAATTTTTTTTAGTCAAAGTAGTACATTAGAAGCTCTGCCATTGTTGAAGATATTAAGGAATCTGGCAAGGAAATATTTCAGAAATGATGACCTAATGGGTCATGGATTGTCTAGTAACTTACAATATTGTTGTTATAGGATTTGTCTGTCTTGGTAATTATTGACCAGCTTCAAACATTTTATATCAATATGAATCTTGGTATAAATGTTACCGTTTTCCCCCATTATTCTTCCTATTGTTGCACTGTAATTATTTCTTTAAAGTTTTTTATCTACTTTGTAGCTCCACTCCACTATCCTGCTGCTTCATCCTGAACCCCTGCCACCTCTGTTGCCCTGCCCTCCACCATGTACCTGCTACTCTACACTCTGCTGTTCCTACTGCCCTACACTTCACCCTGCATCCCCCCACCCGTCCTACACCCCTGCATTTTGCAGCCACTGCACTCTGCCCCTGCTGCCCCCAGCTGAACATCAGTGTCTTTTTCTTCCTGATGCTGACAAGGTATCCCCAGCCTGGCCCTTCATGAGTACAGGGTGGCAGATGTCAAGACGGAGATGTCAGGGTGGAGTGTAGACCAGTGGAGGTGTAGGACAGAGCACAGAGGGGCATGGGCAGCGGAATAGAGGGCAGCCAAAAGCACAGAGATGGCGGCGGGGGGGGAGATAGGTAGATGCAGAAAACTGTTGTCAAAAATTTGAGAGGGCTGCCAATTACCCACATTTTTATCAAAGACTGCAGGAGCACTGCAACTGCTGTAACTTCAAGGACCAGGTATAAATACCATTTAAACAGTCTATTCTGAATCAAGTCACATGACACCTCCACCTCTGGGCTCTCTAGGAGCTCCTGGGAATCCTGAGTCCCTGTGTCTGATGGCCCCGGTTCCGACTCATCCTCCTCTTCCAAGTCAGCAACTGAAGGGGCCATCATACAACCATTGAACAAATGGTCATTAAGTGAGGACTACCTGTAGTTCAATATTCATTGAACTTAGTTAGAGTTTAACACTTTCCATCAAGGCAACTATAAAGGAAAATAGAAAGAGACTAGAAAGAATCTTTTATGTTTATTCATAACTCTTCAATTTTTTTCCTATGGTTATTTAAACAAGAAGTAGTACCACAATGAAAGAAAAAAAGAAAACATTTATTTAGAAGATGCACATTTACTTAAAGAACCGAGTACATGATTAGGATTACGTTCTCTTTCCCTTATACTTCAGCAAAGGCATATGAGCACAAATACTATGGAAACAGCAACAGAAGTTTAGTGAACTGGCTCATTGATTAAAAGTTTTACTCCACCCACATGCCAAGTGGAGAAGATCCTGGCATGTATATGTATGTATATGTAGGGGTGTGGGTCTATACATATGTTGTATATAGTATGTTTTTAGGGCGTGTCATGTACATGTTTCACTCTGAGAGCGGGCAACTAAATTTCATTTTTGATGTGTGCCGTTGTGCCCACAGTAAAAAAAAAATGACAATAAAGGTTATCTTTCTTTCTTTCTTTCTTTCTTTCTTTCTTTCTTTCTTTCTTTCTTTCTTTCTTTCTTTCTAGCACAATACCAACAAAGAGGAAAAATAACAGCTCTCAAAAGAAACCAGCATGGCTGCATAAAGAACTCTCTGATAAATTGAAAGATAAAAAGACAAGTATAGAAAGTGGAAAGAGGGGCACATAACTAAATCAGAATATCAACAAATAGCCCGAGCCTGCAAAGATGAAGTAAGGAAAACTAAGGCTCATAATGAACTAAGGCTTGCGACCAAAGTCAAAAATAACAAAAAAAAGCTTCTTTCAACATGTAAAAAACAAGAAAAAAGTGAAGGAAATGATTGGTCCGTTAGTGGGTGAAAGTGGCAAGAAGGTGACAAGCAATAGGGAGAAAGCAGAACTATTTAACTCGTTTTTTGCATCTGTCTTTACACAAAGGGAAAAAACAGACCAACCTAT